TGTCACATGCATGCTCGTGTGCGCTTTTTTGTGTTCATGCTGCTGATCTTCATCCCCTTGTCCAATCAACGTGTGCCCGACCCTGGCTTTAGGATTTGGCATCGACGAAAGTGGATGTGCGCCTGTCCCTCGAAAGCCTCTCCACCCACGTGTCAACACAGGTTTGTTCGCCACATGGTGTGCTGTTGCGAGATCGTTGCAGGATGCTCTTGGATGGTTGGGGGTTGCACACGTGTGTACTGCTGCTGCCGCCGCTTATGGTGATGATGATGATGTTGTTGTTGTTGTATATGCGTGTGTGCGTGTGTGCGTGTGTGCGTGTGTTGTGCGCCCTGCTTGGTGCTGCAGACGGAAGGCATTGATACGCGACACGATATGCTGTCCATGGAGGCTGGAGACGTGAGCCTGGCTGTTACAGGTTGGTTACGCACGTGGTATCGTCTCACATAGCAGTTTCGTCTGAAACAATCTAGGTACCAGCTACTGTGCGCTGCGCTTCCAGCTCCCCTTCACACACATACACACACACATACACACACGCGCGCGCACGCTCACATGTTCATGGGTCATCCACACATTTCTTTTGTGTTGCTTTGTGTGCGTTTGCATGTGGTGTGCGCCAGCTGTTAAGGGCGAGTTGGAGGATGCGGTGTTCCGACTCGGCAACGTCTCTGAGCTGGCGGACGCTGGACACACACTCGCACGCGCTCTGCAAGAGGAAATCGCGGCCCTCACGCTGCAGCTCAACACCACGGACTCAACCGTGGACCACACGCTCTCGCTCATCTCGGGCCTCGACCAGCGCATCGGGTACAGACAGTGATACACCACGTGTTGCCTTGCTGGCTGCTATCACGTGGTTTTCCATGTGGCATTGTGCATGCAAGCTGATTTCACTTGTCTCCACCCCATTCATGATTTTGTGTGTCTCCCATTGTGCCACCGCCACATGTCAACGGTTCCCTCCCCCCCCCCCTGCAGGGATGCGGAGGATTCTCTCGAGAGCACAGACGTGTCCCTGATGCTGGAACTTTCTCGGACACAGTCGGAGCTCAGCGCCATGCGCGAGTGCGCACTGATGGGCATGGTAAGGCCATGTGTGTGTGTGTGTGTGTGTGTGTGTGTGCGTGTGTGCGTGTGTGCGTGTGTGTGTGTGTGTGTGTGCGTGTGTGCGTGTGTCGTGAAACTGTGAATCCTATTTGATTCGATCTATTCGTCGGCTCACAATCCTTGACGTGTATGCGGAATTGTACCTTTGTTGCAGGTCCACGATGGGGCCCAGTGTGTTCCTGCGTGCACGCGTTTGTCGGCCTGCGACGGTGCACCCTGCTCGCTCCAGACACGAGGCACCCTCCGCTACCTTGATGGTACAGAAATATGGGCAGAACACATGGACTGCAGCTTCTGCGAAACCCATGTGTAGTTGCTCGCACATGACTGACTCCCTCACGCACTCACTTACGCACTCACTCGTTCACTCACTCACTCACTCACACACACACACACACACACACACTCACTCACTCACTCACTCACTCACTTACTTACTCACTCACTCACTCACTCACTCAACCCACATCCCACCACAGACAAGGCTGAGATCTGCGATGGCAACGAGTACACGAGCATTGGCGCCGTCACCACCGGCATCTCGCCCGTCGATCCCGCGGAATCGTGCCAGGAGGTGCGAACACCAGTGCTCTCAATCCTGTCCACATGCAATGCTGGCGCCCCCTTGCAACCTGTAGTCCCCCATCTATCACTTGGCCTTAACTCACCCCACCTCGTGAGCCTCATGAACCTCTCTTCCTCTTCCTCTCCCGTCTTTCTTCGTACTCGTGTGCAGTTGAAGGATCTTGGTTACGTGACCGGTGTGTACTACATCGGCAGCGGCACACAGGGCCGCACGCGGCTGTGCGATCTCTCTGGCACCACGGGGGTCAATCTTGGTGGCGACGGCACCTCTGAACAGGACGCAACACGCGACTGCAGGTCCACTTTTCGTGTGTGTGTGTGTGTGTGTCTATGTCTGTGTGTGTGTGTGTGTATGTGTGTCTGTGTGTGTCTGTGTGTGTCTGTGTGTGTCTGTGTGTATACATGCGCTCAATCGCATGTGCACGTGTGCATTTCTTCGCTCCAACCGCCCTGCTTCTTCCCATCCCGAACTGTTTGCAGCGTTCAGGGTGTGTGCTCACCCTTTCATGCCACTGCCATGCCACCCACCACGACAACGCCACGTGCTCTTCTCCTCACAGCAAACTGTCCAAGTACTTTGGACTGGAGACCGGCCTCCACTGGATCGAGGTGCGAGCATGTCATGCATCGTCAAACAGACCATGTCAATCACGCCATTGCAGGCCTTCTCGCACCATTGCAGCAGAAGAGGAGTCACCAAACCTTCACACCTGCAATTCACCATTCACATGTATTACGTCTGTCCACCGCGCCGCTGCAGGGTGACGATGGTCAAGCGTACGAGCTCGTCTGCGACACCAAGACCGGCGACATCTCACTCGATGGTTCCTCGCCCTCTTTTGCAGCAGAATCGTGCAAGGCCATCAACGCTGTGTACGTCACTTGTGTTTTCGTGTGTGTGACTGTGTGACTGTGTGACTGTGTGACTGTGTGACTGTGTGACTGTGTGACTGTGTGACTGTGTGACTGTGTGACTGTGTGTGTCGGTGTGTGTGTGCCTGTGTGTGTGTGTGTGTGTCTACCTGTGTGTGTCTACCTGTGTGTGTGTGTGTGTGTGTGTGTGTGTGTGTGTGTGTGTGTGTGGGTGGGTGTACCTGTGTGTGGGTGTACCTGTGTGTGTGTCGGTGTGTGTGTCTGTGTGTCGGTGTGCGCACTTCCTCTTCCTCTTCACCATCAATTGACCTGCGCACCACTCTCATCTGTCGACATATCATTTCCTCAACATCCTGTTGTCAACGCACTCCTTCTTCGCATATATGTCACCGCCATGACACGGCAGCTACCCTGACCGCGCCACCGGCACACGCTGGATCACTGCGGGCCTTCAAGACCCCTTCAAAGTGAGCAAATGTCGTTCTTTGTGTGTTCCATGTTGACTCTCATGATCCTGTCGCGCTGCAGCCACACACACACACACGAAACACACACACACACACACACACACGAACACACACACACACACACACACACACACACACACACACACACACACACACATGACAAGGACTCGGAGTTCACTAGTCTTTATGCAGCTCGGGAAAGCAGCCTGTGTAGGTAGTAACACACACACACACAACAACACACACACACACACACACACAACAACACACACACACACACACACACACACACACACACACACACACACAACACCAATGTCACAGGTGACGTGCGTGGGTGACTGGGTGGAGCTGAAGATGAGTGGAAGCGATTTCGCCGACAATGCGTGGATGTTTTCGTATTCATGCGGAAACTCGTGGACAAAGTGCGGGTGCTTCAACGACCTGGAGGTGTGTGACCAATCGACACGTTGGCAGAACAATCTCGCACTTTCTTTGTTTGACGCACACCAACACCAAGATCCTCTTCACTCACGTTCACTTCTGCTGTTTTCGCTACTTAATGTGTGCACGCTGCAGAACAAGCGCAACAACTGGCAGTGTGGCGTTGTGTCGCCCGAGCCACACACGCTTGACTGCCAGGTCTACTTTGACATTGGGTACATGTCTGGAGGTGTTCAGCTCTCCGACGCTCAGATCATTGCCCTCTCAGGCCGCGCCAAGAACGACAACGATCGAAACTTCAACGTATGTGTGTGTGTGTGTGTGCGTCTGTGTCTGTGTCTGTGTCTGTGTCTGTCTGTCTGTCTGTGTGTCTGTCTGTGTCTATCTGTCTGTCTGTGTGTCTATGCGTGTGTGTCTGTGAATGGCTGCATGGTTTTGTGCACCCGTGCCTGGCACCGTGTCTCGCTCGTGTGCGTACCTGCCTGTCGACACATGAGACCACTCACGGTCTACACTTTCCGTCTTGCTGCTACCCTGACCGTCCCTCATTTTCTCCTTCCTCCTCTCCAACCCCTTACCCACGCCCACCCCCACGCCCACCTCCACACAACACAACACAGATGCACACGCTGTCGTGCGACGATGACAGCGAATCGTATCCCGACGGGCACTGGATCGGCGTTGAGAAGACACCAGGCAGCAACAACTTTGTCGCTCGCGACTGCACGACCGGCAATGTCAACTGCTGCAGCCGACAGCTCGTCGACAACTTTGACACGTTCCCGCTGCCGCTGCGTGGGTGCGCGAGCATCAATACCGGTGGCGGTGTCATTCTCTACGCCTCATCCTCAACCCTGCGCATCCGCATCTGAACAACACGTTATTGTGTGCTGTGACATGATGTGACCACAGCAACAAGGGGGGCTTTCACCGTTACTATCCTTTCATGCTCCTGTTTATGGTTTCGCTCCACCTCCTAACCAACCGTTCGTTGTTGTTACCCGCTGTGATGGGATTGGGAGCGGTGGTCGTGCCAAGTGTGCTGCCCCGACATGACAGTGCCCTGTCTCGCAAGCAACAACCCCGCGCGTTCGTGTTTCCGTTTCGCGACAACATAAAATGGAGTGCGACACAGAGATAAAAATAGGAAAAAAAAAAAGGTGTGTCATCTCTGCTGTCTGCATGTCAGTGTCACAGTGCATGTCAGTGTCATGTCTCCTCACGGGTTGTCGACAAGTTTGCGACGAGGCGTCCCAGTGCAGTCAGTGCCAGAGCGCCACATCAACACATCAGCACAGCACAGCACCAGCACCAACCGACCATGTCTGTCGACTCAGCAGCGCTGTTACATTTACCAACCAACAGCCCGCGAGAGCAAGACCGACGATATCGCAGTTAGCAGCAACCACAATCACTGCCACGACAATGGAAACAACAACAATGGAAATTCTTAAAGAAAGGATCCGAGACGCCTTTGACAATCATGAGTTTGCTGCAACGCTCCGGCTCATGGAGGTAACTTTGTATCTCTCTGAAGCACATGACAGCACTCCATCCAAGCTATCCAGAACGAGCATTGAGCGTCTTCTTGATGACCTGAACCTGCACGTCTGCTTAAAGTGTCGCGAGTGCTTCGATAGCGCTCATGACCTCAAAGATCACGTTCGCCAAAACAAGCATTCACGCCATGGCCTTAGTCGTCGCATCAAACGGTTTGTCAAGAAGCATGCAACCAATGATGATGAGGGGCTGCTCGACTTGGAGGGTAGGCTCAGCGAAGACATAGAGGCTTACGAGACGTGGTGCGAGCTTGTTGTTTTGCGGGGACTTCAGTTTAAGTGGGCTGGCAACCGAAGGCGACGTCGTGGCCATTCCGAAACAGCTTCTGCCGCAGCAAGTGCATAAAGCATGCCCGCCTCTTCATCTCCCCACAGGCAACAGCACGACATGCCATATGCACGTTTTGCAAGTGTAATTCGCATACACAAATGCACCTCCGCTTGGCATCCTTCCCTCTGCATGACAGTGCCCTATCTCTCCTTCCCCGTGTCCATTTCCCTCGCCTGCACGCATGCGTGGTCTTAATCTTTGAAGTCCATCCCCACTCCTCCTTTCCGTTCCTTCGCCTGCCCCTTCTCCCTTGGCATTACTGACTCGTTTGGGCCATGATGTTTTCTTTGTTAACGAGCACGTCCACGACAAAAGTAAACACGTTACCAACCAACCAACCAACAGTAACACCGGCAACACGTGCGACAAGAGCGACATGCGCAAGGTGACGTGGGGTGCCAAATAACAACAAGGCGGTGTTGAACAGAATCAAGAACAAACGCATTTGGAAAGAAGGGTGTGTTCTACAGGGAGGAGTCACCACCAAGATCAAAGCGGGCATCGTCGTTATCGTCGAGCCTGAGCACTTCAGAGTTGAGCTGCGTATCCCCACTGACATCAACGGGCGCACGCCTGGTGTCATTGTGTGTGTGTGTGTGTGTGTTTGTATGTATGTGTGAGTATGTGTGTGTGTGTGTATGTATGTGTGAGTATGTGTGGGTGTGTGTGTGTGTGTTTGATATGAGGGGCTGCGAGCAAGAAGTGTCACATTGCAACACAAACAGTTTGTTCTGATATCACAGGTTGACAAAACACGTCCGTTTCGCAAGCAAGCAAGCAAGTAGCACAACCTCAACACCTCGTACCAGACGTCGTTAACCAGTGTGGAGTGGCGCCACCCGCTCCTGGTGATGCGACGGTAGCGGTAGTAGAACATGGCTGCAATACCAACAGCAACAACGGCAACCACTGTAACCGCAATCGTAACCGGGGACAGAGAACCTACCGAGGAAGCGAGGACATGGCACAAAGAGCAGGTACAGAACCACAGTGTGGTGTAAAAGAGGGCGATATTGGTGAAATTTCAAACGCAATCGTAGTTGCGAGGTGAGGAGGTGGTGTCCGCACGCACATGTCAGCTGAGCAACACTCCACGCAATCGCACCTTTAGTTGGCTTGCTGCCAGCTTTCGGAGATGCAGTTGCTTGTGTTGTAGTCCCATTTGCACTTGCCGTCGTGTTGGCCATGGTTGTTGTTGTTGTTGTTGTTGTTGTTGTTGTTGCTGTTGTTGTTGTTGCTGTTGTTGTTGTTGTTGTTGTTGTTGTTGCTGTTGTTGTTGTTGCTGTTGTTGTTGTTGTTGTTGTTGTTGTTGTTGTTGTTGTTGTTGTTGTTGTTGTTGTTGTTGTTGTTGTTGTTGTTGTTGTTGTTGTTGTTGTTGTGGCTGGTGTTGTGGTTGTTGTTGCTGTTGGTGTAGTTGTTGTTGTGGCTGTGGTTGTTGTGGCTGTTGTTGTGGTAGTTGTTGCTGTTGGTGTAGTTGTTGTTGTGGCTGTGGTTGTTGTGGCTGTGGTTGGTGTTGTGACTGGTGTTGTGGTAGTTGTTGCTGTTGGTGTAGTTGTTGTTGTGGCTGTGGTTGTTGTGGCTGTGGTTGGTGTTGTGACTGGTGTTGTGGTAGTTGTTGCTGTTGGTGTAGTTGTTGTTGTGGCTGTTGTTGTGGTAGTTGTCGGTGTGGTTGTCACAGAGCTGGCGGTGTTGGAAGTTGGCTCGTCAGATATCGTGGCCACTGATGTTTGCGAAGCAGTCAGCGTTGTGGTTGCACTCGCTGTGGTTGTGGGTGTTGTATGATCTGCTGTTGTTGGCGTGGAAGTCACAGCAGCTGTCGTGGTACTGGCTGTGGTTGTGCTTAAGTTCATCGGAGAGGTGGTTGTGATGCTTGAGCCCGTTGCTGTTGCTGGAGTTGCCGTCGTTGTGGCAATTGTCGTGGCAGTTCCACTCGAAGTGGTGGACTTGACTTCTGTCGTCGTTGTCGCTGTTGCAGGCGAACTCGCAGTTGTCGCCGTTGCTGTCGTTGTCGTCCCTGTGCCTGTTGTTGTTGCACCCGTGGTTCGGTGAGTAGCAGTCGCTGTCGTTGCTGTTGCTGTTGTTGGGGTTGTCGTAGTCGTTGTTGTGGTCGTTGTTGTTGTGGTTGTGGTAGTCGTTGTCGTCTTCGATGTCATCGATGTTGGTGAGGCTGTCGCCAGTGTTGTTGTTGTGGTCGTCGTCATTGTTGTTGTCGTTGTCGTCGTGATTGTGGTCGTTGTTGTTGTGGTTGTGGTAGTCGTTGTTGTTGTGGTTGTTGTTGTTGTAGTTGTGGTAGTCGCTGTTGTTGTGGTTGTGGTAGTCGTTGTTGTTGTGGTCGTAGTGGTTGTTGTTGTTGTTGTGGTCGTAGTGGTTGTGGTTCTCGTTGTCGTCTTCGATGTCATCGATGTTGGTGAGACTGTCGCCAGTGTTGTTGTTGTGGTCGTCGTCATTGTTGTTGTCGTTGTCGTCGCTATTGCGGTCGTGATTGTTGTCGTAGTTGTTGTGGTCGTTGTTGTCGTCGTGGATGTGATCGTTGTTGTCGTCGTCGTTGTTGTTGTGGTTGTTGTTGTGGTTGTGGTAGTCGGTGTTGTGGTTGTGGTAGTCGTTGTTGTTGTAGTTGTGGTAGTCGTTGTTGTTGTGGTCGTAGTGGTTGTCGTCGTCGTTGTCGTCTTCGACAAGTCAATGTAGGAGATACCAGCCAACGCATGAACAAAAGCAAAGGCGTTCAGCATGCCAGGTGTCGAGGTGGCGTTGATGGTGGGATCGCTCCACTCACCCTTCAGCTGGGACATCACATCCACAAGCGCAGATGCAAAGGAGGACGCTCGAAATGCAATGGTGGGCTCCGCGTGGTCGCTTGGGTCGGGCAACTCAAACTGAAACACTGCTGTGACGGAGGGGTCTTCTGGCTCTTCCACCACTGATGCCACGCCAAATAGCGCCGTGGCATTGCCCAGCTCCTGACGAAACATGAGCCGCAGGCCCTCAATCATCAGGAACTGCACATCCTCGTCAAATGGGAGATCCGGCCGTGGTTGCAAGCGTCGAAAGATCACCGCAACTTGCCACCGATCTTCGGTCAGGGTCGGGGGAATAACTGGCGGAACGAGCGGCGCACACTCGCGCCTGACATCAAGCGATGGCACCACGGTCTCGCCCTCGCCAATCGGGCACTGCGGCTGCCGCACACATCTGCGCGTGTCCGTGGCACCCTTGCTTCCTGTGATGTACATGCCCGTGCCGCACGACCCGCATACTGCGTCGTGGCCGGCGCTGCACCTGATGAGAAGGAGCTGCGAATCCTCGCACACGCTACACGGCTTGCACTCTGCGTCACGCTCCGCTGTGCACGCAACAGCGGTGTACGAGCCGGCGGGGCAGGTGGTGCAGGTGGCGCACTCCGTGTCGCTGTCCATTCGACAAGCCTGCTTGACAAACTCGCCTGCACCGCACCGCGTGCATGACCGGCACACACGATCCTGTGTTGGTGTACACGGCGACGCAATGAACGTGCCGTGGTCGCAGTCGCGGCAGGACCTGCATTCTCTGTTCTGTGTCGAAGTGCAAGGGCTCGTCTCGTACTCGTTCTCAGTGCACGACAGGCATGGGACGCACTCTGTGTCACCAGAACGCGAAGTGCAGGGGAAGATGATGAATTCGCCTGGCTTGCACTCAGAGCACTGCGCACACTCGGTGTCCTGCGAGGTAGAGCAAGGCTGCTCTAGGTACTCCTCACCGTCCGCGCACACGGTGCAAGGCGCGCACTTGCCCAGCGATCCGTCCGACCACGTGATGCCGGCAGCGCAGGGCTCGCAAATGGTGTTCGTCGTGGACGAACAGGCGCGGGAGATGGCTTGACCAGGTGCGCAGGTGGAGCACGTGGCACACTGTGCATCTTGCGTCGGGGTGCACGGTCGCAGGAAGAACTCTTCGCCAGCCTCACACTCTGTGCAAGAGAAACACGCGCCCGAACCGCCGGGTGACCATGTGCCCGGAGCGCAGTCCTTGCACTCGTAGCAGCCGTCCGTGTTCACGCAGCCAGTGCCGGCTTGGCAGGCTGCTTCCACCTCCTTGCACTCGTCGATGTCGATGCACTCTCCATCGGCGCCGTCCTCGATGTATCCACGCTCACATTCACCGCAAGAGAAGCCGATGGGCATGTTGATGCACGACCGGTGGGCAGGGCAAGGATTTGGTGAGCAGCTGTTCGTGATCTGCCCAGACACAAGTGCTGCCTGATGACCCAGGACCACCACCAAGGCGATCGTCAACAAAAGCCTCAAAGAGAGACCCAAAGACCTTGTGTCTCTGGTCACTGGCGAACTGAGCCTTGGTTGTTTCGCTGCTCGGGTGTCACGAGGAACAAACGAGAGACGCAAAGAGAAGGGGGCCCCCATCATGTTGCTGTCGCGCTTGCTTGCTTCAAGGTGCGATGCGACGACGACGGCTTGCTGCTTGGAAAGAATGAAGGAAGGACGCGCAGGCTGAAGAAGCTGTGGTGATGCTGTTGTGGTGGTGATGCTGTTGTGGTGCTGCTGTTGATGCGCTGTAAGGGTGCCTGCAGGCAACCACACCAAAATGCACCCAACAACTCGAAGGGAATTGACGTGACAGTAAACAAGCAGATAAGTGTTGGAAATCATTCAACAACAATCTGCGACGAGGAGTGCTCCTCCTGAGTGCGCTTACCCCGCCCAGCTTGCACTTGCCTCCCCCCGCCTGCGTTGCTTGGCATCATGTCACAAGTGCAAGGTTCTGTGACGCGTGTAATTGCTGCTCCCCATCAACACTGGGAGCCAACCAACAACGCACGCACGCAACGCAACGCAACAGTGCAACAACAGCCAAGAGGCAACAAGCAACAAGCAAGCAAGCGGAGAACAAGAGGCAACCAACCACACACGTGTGTGCGTCAAGCACCAGAATCGTAGGCAAAACGAACAACCATCAAACATCAACAGCAACAAGACAGCTAGGTCTCCTCCCCCCCCCCCACAAACACACACACACACACACTCACACTCACACACACACACACACACACACACACATCACACCTTTGTTCAGTTCCATCATTCTGTGTGACACCATCATACGTTATACACACACGTACATGCATACATACAGACACAGACAGACACGCATTGACCTCAGAGGGTGCGGATGCCACCCCCACTGCTTGGTGCGGCCGCTGACGATCCTTGGCTGCCGCGGCGCCGGCGCACAATCACGACGGCAACGATGATGCCGCCCACGACCACCAGGGCGCCAGCAACCGCGCCGACAATGAGCGGGATGGGCAGGGACGACCCGCTGCCGCTGCCCTTGGGCGCGGGCGTGGGATCAGACGGGTCCCCGTCGCGCGGCAAGGAGTTGTCGCCATCGTTTCCATCACCGCCGTTACCAGTGCCGTCCCGCCGCACAATCTTCACGTCGCGCACGGTGGTCTGGGTGCCGTTTGGCTCTGCGGAGCCCGTGCGCAGACCAAGCTGCCGCGCAAGCGACCCGTCCAGCGCCATTCGCATCACAGAGTCGCGCACAAGCTCGAGCGTCTCGTTGGGAGCAACCACAGCCATGGTCACCGACATGACATCGTTGAGCAAGGTGGCTGTGGAGTTGTTGTCATCCTGGCCAAGAACGGGGAGGCCGCCAAAGCCGCTGCTGGAGCCGCCGCCGCCGCCAAGCAGGCCATCAAGAAGGCCACCCAGGTCACCCAGGCCGCCACCACCACCACCGGTGAGCCCACCTGTGAGGCCGTCGAGGGGACCGGTGCCACCGTTGTTGTTGTTGTTGTTGTTGTTGTTGTTGCCGGCAGTTGTCGTTGTTCCGCCGTTGCTGTTGCTGCCGCCGCCACCGAGCAGGCCGCCTGTCAGGTCGCTCGTGCCGCCACCTCCAAGCAGCCCATTTAGCATGCCCTCAAGCAGGTTCGTGACAGAATCAGCAAGGGGCACGCCAGTCGACACGCCACCGTTGCCAGAAGTGCCACCCAAGCCACCAAGGCCACCAAGGCCACCTGTGACGCCACCGACATTGCCGAGGCCACCGGTCAGCCCTCCAACGTTGCCCAGACCACCAGTCAAGCCACCGACGTTGCCCAGACTGCTGGTGAGGCCGCCAGCACCGCCGCCGCCGCCAACGCCGCCAAGCACGCCCGCGCCAGGCAGGCCGCTGACAAGCTGGTCGGTGCCGCCGCTACGCATGGCCGGAGCAACGCCGAGCGGGACGACGCTGTTCGGGGTGACGTCGGGCATGCCGAGGGCAACGCTTGCCGCGTCTGCCATCTGCCTTGCGTCAAGCATGGACATTGCAGCCACGGCCATATCCATGGTGAACTGCACCTGGTCGCCTGCCACGTTGCCCATGCGCCCGAGCATTGGCATGTCAAAGCACGAGAACTGGCAGGAGAGGTACACGTCGTAGCAGTTGGAGACCATGGTGCTGAGGTTGACCACCTCATCCGGCATGTCGTCCACGTCGGGCATACCCCCGGTGTTCTGCATGTTGTTTGTCATGTCTGTGACGGTGGTGCTTGTAGCAGAGTTGAGGCACAGCCGCAGCTCATTGTTGCAGCACTCCGTGCACACGGCGGCGTCGGCGTCGCACACCGCGGGGGACGTGGCGCACCCGCACCGCCGTGCAAACGGATCCCACGAGCACCGGTTCATGTCGCTGCGCGCAGCATCCGCACGGCACCGCGCACGCGTGTTGCACACCGTCTGCCGCACCTCGTCCTTGGCCTTGAAGAAGTTGACATCGTTGCACGTCTGCGGCACAGCCTGGCACTTGCCAGGGTACGCCACCTTCACACCGGCGCAGCGTGCGTGGCACGCAGACGGGTACGTCTTGTCGTCCTCACCGCACACCTCCTTCACGCCATCGTAGTCGTGTGCGCTGGAGCACCTGTCCTCGCAGCGCACGCACTTGCCGCCGTACGCCGCCCGCGTGCCGGCGCGCTCCGCATAGCACGCGTTGTCGTACGAGAGACCGTCGTCGCCGCACACGTGCGCCCTGCCGTGCTTGGAGCAGGGGTCGCTCGCCTCGCACTGCACGCGCTGGCCCGAGTACGGGTCCGTCCACACCGCCTTGCAGCCATCGCACGCGTCCGGCTCGCACACAGCGTTGGGGTTGGCGGGGCAGGTGGCCTGTGCACAGGGGTTGTAGCGGCAGGTTGAGCTGCACGCGCCACGGCCCACCTGGTTGTGGTCGTAGCAGCGCGCACGCCGCCCATCTGCAGTGTAGAACTCCGCCTTGCAGCCGCCGCACGTGTTGACGCGGCACATGGCGGTGCTGTCGCCGGGGCACACCGCGTTGTCGCAGGGGTTGGCGAAGCACTGCACGGGGGTCTGGCCGGGCGGGCACTGGTGCGCATCGCCGTACACCCACTTGCCGTCGTCGCCACCGTGGTGGCGTGGCATGTACGCGTCACCCTCAAAGCACATGTCCCGGCGCACGTGGGCAAAGGGGCGGCGGTCGTACTGGTGGCGGTAGGAGCGGCCGGCGTTGTCGCTGTACTCGGACTCGACCCGCCTCTCGTGGCGAGAGATGCGGCGGCAGTGGTCCGTGTCCCGGTCCATCCAGTTGTCCTTGCGCCACCACGACGGCAGCGGGCGGCGCGGGCGGCACGTGCGCTGGTTGCGCTGGTAGTCGCCAGCCTTGATGGAGTCGTACACGCCGCGTTGCATGCGGTACACGTCGCGCATGTACATTGGGTGGCCGCCGCCAACGCCGCACCCGCGCTCGTCCAGGCCCTGCGCATCAAACCCGTACGCGTCGTACCCGCGCGCATCCATGCCGTACATGGACGGCGAGTACGCGTCGTTCTCGCCGTCGTCCACGGTCACGTACTGCCCGCTGCGATCGCGCCCATAACGGTCGCGCCCGTACACGTCGTAGCCGTCGCGATCGTAGCCATCGCGGTTGTAGCGCGGGGGCGGGGTGCCCGCGTGGTAGCCGTCCGTGTCGTGTGTGCCGCCGTAGGCCGTGGCGTCGCAGGGCGGGACCTCGCCAGGGTGGAGGTAGCCGACGCACAGCGCGGACTCGCTGTTAAGCACGTCCGCCGGCGTGCGCGGGAAGGGGTCGAGGGTGGTGTGCATCATGTGCTGCGGGAACTGGTGCCCGTTGTCCAGCGTCGTCATCCAGTCCTCCCACAGCTTGTCGATGTACGCGTGGTGCATCACAAAGATGGGGTCGTACGGCGCCATGTGCGACACCATCGTGCCGCCAACGCACATGCGCGGGTCCGCATGCAGGGCCTCCAGCGCAGCGGCCATGTCCTCATAGTTGGACTGGGCAAGGGCCGCGGCAACATCGTCAAACGAGGGCATGCCCCAGCTCGCATCCCAGGAGCGCTCGATGCACGGCGAAAAGTGGGCAAAGGGCCCGTCCATCACGCACGAGTCCATGTTGCGGCCGTCACCGCCGACGATGTTCCACACGGGGGACGTCTCCGGGGACATGGCGTCGATCGTCCAGTCCCAGTAGGGGATGACGAGGTCGCAGTTGCCGGTGGCGTCGCGCATGGCCATCTCCACCTGGCTCAGGAACTCCCGGTGCCACGGCAGGAAGCGCGGGTTGCCGTACGCCTGCGGACCCGCGTTGAGGTGCATCTCCGCCAGCGTCGACCACATGCCGCTCTCGTACAGGGCGTTGACGGCGTCCACAAACGCCGCAATCTCCTGCGGCGTCATGTCGCGAATCTCGCGGCGCGGGCGCGGCACGCACTGGCACGACACGGTGCCGTCTGTTGCGCAGAAGCACGTCTGGCAGCCGTAGGAAAACGTCTGCCCGTACGCGTACGCCTTTCCGCCGTACATGCACTGGCGCGGGGCCTCCCACTTGGGGCTGCCGCAGCGCACAAGCGAGCACGACTTGCCCTGGGCAAACGACACCACCTCCACGCCGTCCTTGTCGTTCTCCAGCGCCTGGCACTGCGAGTGCGTCAGCTGCTGGCAGGAGAACTCCGCCTTGGAATAGTACCCGTCATAGGAATAGCCGTCCTTGTCATAGCCGCGGTGGCCGACGCCAGACCGGTCCATGCCGTGTCCGTCGTACTGCTCGTCGTACGTGTAATCGTACTGCTGCCCGTCGCGCGAGTACCGCTTGTCGTACCCGCGGATGTCATAGCCGGCACCGTCGCACCCGGTCGTGTCGTAGCCGCGCTCGTCCTGCCCGTGCTCGCTGTACGTGTTGCGTGTGAAGCGCGGGTGCGAGTGCGGGCGCCGGGAGCGGCCGTCCCTGGCCACGCCGTTGCGGTCGTACCCGTGGCGATCGTATCCGTGGCGATCGTAGCCATACGCCTTGCCATCCTCGTGCACCATGCGTCGTGTGCAGCACGCGCCAACCACGCATCGCTGCTCGCACGCCTCCTTGCTCGCAAAGTTGTTGCCGTTGCCGCCGCAGCCGCCGTACGCAAACTCCTCGCACTGGCTCGTGCGCGGGTTGAAGAACCAGCGGGAGGCATGACCGTCGCAGTCGCCGGGGACGGGCGGCTGGTGGCACACGCCGCCGTACCGGTGGTCAATCGTGTACTCGGAGCCGTGCCCAACGCCATCATCCTTGTTGTTGCCGTTGTTGTTGCTGTCATGACCGCTGCCACCGTGACCGTGCGGGCCGCGGCCAACACTGCCGTCGCAGCCGCCGAGGCAGCCGTACAGGGCATCGAACATGGAGCGGGCGTGGTAGTCGTGTGTGGGGGCAATGCGCTTGTAGCACGCGTAGTCGCACCCGGCGTAGCTGTCACGAGCATCGTACAGCTTGTACAGCGCCGCCCTGCACGGCGCGTAGTCCTCGCACGCCTCAAACTTGCGCCGACACTTGCCCGTGCACCAGTCCGAGGGCGTGCAGTCGAGCGGCTGCGGGTCGTACGCGGAGACGCTGCGATCGTAGAAGTGCGCGGCGCACACCCCGCAGTCCTCAACCACGCACATGGCGGCCGGGTGGGCCAGGCAGCGGCGGCCATGGCACAGGTCCGGGCACTTGCGCCGGTGGTATGCAGAGGGGCACTCGTGATCGGGGGGCGGGGGCGGCGGTGGGTAGTGCTTTGGTGGTGGTGGTGGTGGTGGCCGTGGGGCTGTTGGGCTGGAGCTCACACACATGGGCTGCCACTCACACATGAGCGTCATCGTGTCCATCTGGCACGCCACCATCTCCTGCATTGCATGTTGTGTAGACCAGAAGAAGCAATTGGGTGTGAGTGGACGCGCAACCGGTATGGAGAATTTGAGCATGTGCATACGCACACACACACACACACACACACACACAAAAGCACGCATTCATACACACACACACATTCACACAAGAGCATACGTACAAACACGGAAGCACGTACCCGGATCTCCATGCATTCGTGGTGCAGCAGCATGCACATGCCCTCGATCCACTCGCAACCAGGCATGAGGTTGCAGGTGAGGGATGTCATACCCACGGTGCAGGGGTTGATGTTGGGGACACACATCCCTGTTGGCTCGCAATTGGGATCGCTCGTGCACGCGTCCATGTCCATGTTGTAGTCGACGCACTGCGTTGGCGGCGGCGGCGGCGGCGGCATGTGCGGCTTCCACGGTTTGACCGGATATGTCGTGGGCGGCGAGGGCGGGGTACCGGGTGGCGGTGGCGGTGGCGGAATACCGGGAGGTGTCGGCGCTTCGGGGGCATCGAGGTCCATGCAGAAGGGCTGCCACTCGCACAGCATGGTCATGGTGTCCATCTGGCACGCCACCATCTCCTGCAGTTGTGTGACGTGGGATTGGAGCAACGGTGTGGTACACAGAACCACGACAGATGAGCGGATGCGAGCAAGAGACTAGAGCGCATCGTGGCGCGCACACAGGTCATTGCACACATGCCAAACACACACAAACAAACAAACACACACAACACACACGACACACACACATGCATGGCAGCAGGAGCACACATGTCAAACACACACACGCACATACACACGCACGCACACACACACACACACACACACACACACACACACACACACACACACACACACACACACACACACACACACACACACACAAACACACACACGCGCGCGCAAACAAACAAAAAATCCCCCCCCCCATAGTCTGTGACTACGTACATCAATCTCCATGCATTCGTGGTGTAGCAGCATACACATGCCATCGATCCATTGGCAGCCGGGCATGAGGTTGCAGGTGAGGGAGGTGATGCCCACGGTGCAGGGGTTGATGTTGGGGACGCACAGGCCGCTTGGTGCGCAGCCCGGGTCCGCGTCGCACGCAGCCATGCTCTCGTACTGGTAGCACTCGCCAGGGGGCACTTGTGTCGGGGGGATGATGGTTGGTCCCGGAGCGGAGGGGGGCAGGGCCGGGGGTGGTGGCGGCGGTGCAGGGTTGTCGACTCCAATGCAGATGGGCTGCCACTCACACATGAGCGTGAGGGTGTCCATCTGGCACGCCACCAAGTCCTGCAACAACGCATTGACAGCAACCGCAGTGGAGGCAGCACATGTCACAGCGCCAGCACAAACACAGGTGAGGATGGGCAGGAAGGCAAAGTAACACCCCACAAGCAGCGGGCACATGACGCACACACACACACATACAGAATCCCACACAACTACACACACACACACACATGCACATACACGTACACACACACACACACACAAAACACACTCACAGAACCCCATACAACCACACACACACACACACAAACACACACATACACGAACACACACACACACACACACACAAACACACTCACAGAACCCCATACAACCACACACACACACGTACACACACACGTACACACACACACACACCTTAATCTCCATGCATTCGTGGTGAACCAGAAGGCACATGCCTTCAAACCACTCGCAGCCGGGCATGAGGTTGCAGGTGAGGGAGGTGATGCCAACGGTACAGGGGTTGATGTTGGGGACGCACATGCCGGAGATGGCGCAGCCCGGGTCGGATGCGCATGACGCCATGTCGTCGTTGTAGGCCTGACATCCCTGTGCCTTGACAGAGACGCCGCATTGTAGCAGGCAGACGGTCGCTAGCAGCGCCCATATCGCGGGCGCCACGGCCGGCTTTCGAGCGGCCGGCATCCTTGCGCGCTCAGCAGAGAGACGCTTTTGGAAGGAAACAGACACGCGAGAGAGTCAAGGCCCTGGGTTGAAGGCTCGAGATCAGCTGTGAAGACTCCGTGGAACAAGCGGAGGGGCCCGCTTGTCGTGTGTATATTGGGGAGGAGGGGAGCGGGAAGGGTTGCAGAAATAGCTTGAGACTCAAGACTGTAACCGTGGACAAGCTGTGGTGCGTGTACTGCAGATGTGTACCTGAGAGACAGCTGGAAAATGAGCAGATGCATGCGACAGAAGATGGATGGGCGCAGAGCGCTCTCTTCAGCTCCAGGGACAACAGCAAGGAGACAGCAGATGCACAGAGACACGGGGCAAGCACAACACGCCGTCACATCTTACTTGCGCATGATTGATCGGTGGGCGCGTGCTCTGGGTGGTGTGAAGGCTTCTGCATGGTGGCACGCTCCCAACGAGCTGGGAAAGCACGCACACACGTGCTCGTGCCACCTGCACTCGTCTCGGAGTCACATCGCTGCTGTCTAATAGAGAAGGACCACTCCTTGTTCATGATCCATGCGCACTCGCAAGTGCACGTTACCACAAAAAAAAGAGGGAAGGTGGATTGGCGAGGAGAAAGCGGCTCACGTCAATCACTCTCACACGCACACACACACACACACACACACACACACACACATACACACTGTCGCGTTGTGTGCACGCATGAGTGACACCATCCGCTCCCGCAACACACATGCACGCACACACAGACGCGACTGTTGTTGTGTTCGAACAGCCACTGCCGGGCGCCACTGTGGTTGTAGAAAAGTACTTTAAGACATGCACGAAAATTCGGCGACGCTGGGAACAAGATGAGTGGGAACTGATGAACGAACCACACGTCAACTTGGCTCCAAGTGCTGGGCTCATCCTCTTCCTCTTCTCTTCTTCCCTCGCCACTTCACATCATCTCACCTTTCTCTCTTCGTGTGCCTGCACGTACCCCACGTGCACGAAGCATGACCACTGCACATTACGCGCGAGCACACGTCAACCTGTCAAGAGATGAAGCGTGATTTGAACGCAATCACATTTGCGAGCGACATGCAGTACTTGCACACAAGCGCAGGCCATGCAGTCATCATGAAGGACCACATCCGCAGACTCCTCACAGCTTCATGCCGCCACCTGCAGCTTCATGCCATCAGCACGAACCTCCTCCTCCTCCTCCTCTTGCCCACAAGCTCCAGGCACACGCACACGCATGAGTTGAAGGTGCCTTCACGAAGCCTTTTGCAGTTCTTCGTTTATGCCATTGCACTTGCAGCCCGGCAGCATCCGCAAGCAGCGCTCAGATACATGCACACATGTCAATTGACAAAGCCAACCAAGCACACGTGGACATGGACTTCCCACCATCACCACACTCAAGCGCAAGATGCACTCGACCTAGCTCTATCTAAACACAACCACAAACCAGCCACCAGCCGCCTGCGTAAACATCATCACTAACATCACCCACGCAAACCCCTCCACACTCAACATCAGCCAACATAGAGCGCACGTGGTGGCACGCACCCACCAGGTTCCCTGGCTTCAAACCAAAGAGCCAAAAGAGCGGTTACAGCACACCAGCACGGGCAGGCGGCGGAGGGGGACAGGCCTGCCTTCCTGACAGCTCAGAGCCACTGGCTGGCCGCGAACGAGTATGCGACTGCCTGCCCGTCTGTCTGCAACAGTCTCCACGGTGGTGTATGCCTCCCTTTCTCTCCCATCTCTCCCTTGCGGCTGTCGGCGGGTCGTCAGACGCCTTCACCATCGAGGATGGTGTTGCAGAGGCCCAGCAGCGCCTGGTCGGTTGGAAACTGCTGCACAGCCCGCGTCGCCGCTGCCCGCACGTCCGCCGGCAGCCAGTGCCCCGTCGGGTGCACTAGCCCCGTCTTGAACGCCGTGCTGTTGGCGCTGGTGCTGGTGGCAGTGTGCAGCAGCAGGGATGGTGAGGACATCGATGGTGCCGGCGCGTGCGATGGGCGAGCGGCCGTGCGTCCTGCATGACCACTGGGGCCAGCACCAACATCTGCAGCACGGTCCTGTGCGCGGCCACCAACAGCGCCTCCATCATCATCATCATCATCATCATCATCATCGTCGTCGTCGTCACCATCGTCACCGCCGTCGTCACAATCGTCACCGCCGTCGTCGTCCCGCCGTGCGTCCGCGGGGATGCTGCTGCTGCTGCTGCTGCTGCTGCTGCTGCTGCTGCTGCTGCTGAGACGGTGCCTGCTAGAACCAGGCTCTGCCTGCTGCACCGGCGCACCAGCGTCGGCCTCGGTGTCGTACTGCGGGTCATTGCAAGGAAAGAACAGCCGCCAAAACATGACCAGCTTGCTCAGCAGACTGAGCCCAAGCACCTGCGCGTGCCGGCACGTCTCGTGAGCGTGCATGCACGCTGCCGTAGCCCTGATCCCGGCCTCCACCCACATCAACATGTCATCCGTGTCAACAACATTACCCTCCCCATCCCCCTCCTCATCCTCTCCCTCCTCATTCTTGGCATCGACGTTGCCTTCGCGACCCACACCAACCCCTGGCTGACTGAGGAGGCGGCTGCCATGATGCGTACCAACATCAACGCCACCACCAACACCAACACTGTCAATGTCGTCCGCAACATCTGCCAGCAGTGCGGCGCTGCAGGAGAACCGGCCCCATCCGTCCGTCTCGGTATCGCCACAGTCACCGCCACCATCGCTGACACGGCTGCCACGTCCATCTGCATCACGCGTACCGCCGCGACTGACACCGCTGACACCGCTGCTCGCGCGCGGCCGCCGTTGGTGGGGACGACTGCTGCTTCTGACTCTGGCGCTGCTACTGCGGTGGCGGTTGCCGAGGGTGGGCGTGCTTGGCCTGGTCGCGGCGCGGGCTTGCAACAGAGCATCGTGTGCACATGAGGCGAGCAGCTCCAGGCAAGGACAGGCGGTGGTAAACACCTGCACGTTCCTCAGGCCGTGGTTCTGCAACATGTGCAGGACGGCGTGCGCGCCGCCAGAGACGATGACGTGGTCGATGCACGACTTGTCCCAGGAGACGAGGGAGAAGATGAGACTGCACCCCGCCAACTGCAGGCGCACGTCCGAGTGGTGGATGCACATGGCGGCCACCACGGCCTCAACCGCACCGTGCCGCAGCAGCCGCTGCCGCATCTGCTGGCTGGAGTACGCAACCTCCTCAAACGCCTCGCACACGTCCCGCTGCAGCCTGTGCACGTACTCGTTGGTGTGCATGACCCGCACCAGGCGCCGCACGCCGCTTCGCTCGCCCAGGATCTGCAGCAGCGTCTGCCGGTCGCTCTCAAACTCGCCAACGCCATTGCTGTACAGGCTGCCCAGGCTGCTGCTGCTCGCCCGCCGGCGCCGCAGCGTACCGTACGCGTGAACATGGTGGAACGCGTCCCTGCCCCCAGCGCTATCGTCGTCGTCATCATCACCGTCGTCGTCGTCGTCGTCGTCCACATCAGCACCAATACCGCCACGGAGGCTGGGGGATGATCTGCTCATCCTGTCCCTGCGGGCAGACGTGCTCCTGGCTGACGACGGCCGTGCAGGCAGTGGTGGCCGCGTGCGCCGTCGAACCCCGGGCCGCGTGGCAGGCCGCGCTGTCTCTGGTGCCGGCGATGGGGACGGTGACGGGGAGGGCGACGGCGGTGATGGCGTGCGTGGTGCCGTTTTGTTCGCTGCCACGGAGGCTGACTCATGCATGATGTGGCGGCGTGGGCGGAGGTTGGCGGGAAACCCGGGCCCGCCGAACCCGCTCGCGGCCGGGGGCAATTGATGCATCTTGTTCTTGGCGTGGCCGGCGCTGGGCAGCTTGGAGTCGAGCGAAGACGGGATGAGGGAGCCTGATGAGCGCGCGGAGGACGAATACGAGCACGTGGAGGGGCGCCGCTTGGGTGGCACCGTTGGAAGGGCTGGCGCACCACCCTTGTCCCAGGGCAACACGGGCTGTGCCGTCGGCGTTGGTGTCGCTGTCGTGTGTGTTGTTGCTGTCACTGCTGTCACTGCTGGTGTTGTAACAAGGTGCGCTTCTCGCTCGCTGCTGGAATGTGGAAGCGAGGGAGGTGCCACCACTGGCTGGCGAGGAGGAGGGTCCATGGTGGGAGTTGCGTTGTGTGCGATGATGCACTTACTCGATCACCAAGAGAAATGGTTGCGATGCAGAAGCAACCCGCTCACTAGCTTGCGTGGTCGCAATAAACAACACCTTGAACTCGGGTGCTTGCCGAAGGACCAGCACTTGTCACGAGGTTGCGGCGTGCTTTGTTTTGCAGGTGCGCGACCTGCACGGTTCTGTGATGAATGTGAAACCCGCAAGACTGCCCGATAACGATTGATTGGCGTTGTGAGTAGGTTTGGCCAGAAAAGTAAGAAAGGCGTGTCGACTCTCGCCACGTGCTCGAAGCAACCTCAACAACAACAACAACAAACAGGTTGGTAGACCGAGATGTTCATGTGAGACTGTATCCTTACGCAAGCCAAACAGCACGCACGCACGCACGCACGCACGCACAAGGAAGAATCCACTCACGTGATACTGAGCCTGCTTGTACTCCACCGGCCAGAAACCACAGGAATGGGGGTGGGGTGGGAGAGCGCAACAGAGAATACGGTAGAGCTTCCTGCTTCCTGAGCTGTTGACCTATGTGTACAAACGAAGAAACGACGGCGTAGTGGTGGCGCAAGCCACAGAGGAGAGCGAGGAGGGCCAGTTCGCGCGGTGAGACTATCAAGGCTGTCAACACCCAGAAGGAAGAATAGGCACTGGTGCTTCACCCACGACAACCCAGAGAACGAAGGAACGAGGTCAGGAAGTCCAAACGTCTACATCTCACACGCGCTCACACGCACACGCATGTATCCAAGCCAACCCGCCAACAACAAAGAACAAACAGACAAACAACCAACAAAACACGCAAGCAGAAGAAGACTTGCTGGGTCACGAACAACGCAAGACGGCGTGGTGAGGGGTGGTGACACGTAGGGCCTAACACCACGAGTGTCCGTCCGTCTTCGTGCTTGAAAATGACATCATTCCCCACAAAACTGTCTGTCGTGTCGTTTCTAACAAGAACGACATCATGTAATGTGGTCACAAAGGTGTCAAATTTGACAGGTGGTCAGCTTTGCGCCGGGAAATTCGAGTGGTGTGTTTTGGCGACAACCAAAAAACCCCGCAACCCACCACAACAACAAGCCAGCACCACCACTTGCCCCACACCACCCGCACGTCGAACACCCAGCACACCCAGCACCAATACCGAGACCGCCCCGCCGCTTCTCATCTTGACTGCTACAACTGCTGTTGCCTAAGTGGCGTCAATCACTGACTGTCTTCACCTTCGACACGTCCATCCCCTTTCCTTTCTCCTTCCTCCTTCCTCCACACACCACACACCACACAAGCAATAATGGAGCAACAACAACCACGCACCAACACACACGCTTTGCGCGAACACAACAGCACAAGCTCGGTAAGTCCGGTCAATACGCAAATGTGGTTGCGACATGTGTGCGTGTGTGTGTGTGTGTGTGTGTGTGTGTGGGTGTGTGTGTGTGTGTGGGTGGGTGTGTGTGATGGACGTACTTGATTACGATTGCATGGTGTGTGATCCTTCTCAACACACGTTGAGGCCGTGCCCCCATCTCACATACGCCCTCGTTTGGATAACATGGTGAACATGGTGAACCACAGACAAGCACAGCATCAAAGAAGCCGTCAGCATCTTCTGCAAAGCGTAAGCTTGCTCTGTGTGCCGCCTTTGCTTTTGTCGGTGGCCCGTGTGTTCCATTGTTCGCTTGGTTTCGGTGGCGATGCATGCCGGTGTCTCCTCATAATCGGTGTGTTCTGTCGATGCTTTGTCTCGCTCTTCACACAGCCGCACGCAGGAAATGGTGTCTCGATGACTTTGAGATTGGTCGCCCACTCGGTGCGTGAGTGATTGTGTGTGTGTGAGTGTGTGATTGTGTGTGTGTGTGAGTGTGTGATTGTGAGTGCGTGAGTGATTGTGTGTGTGTGCCCGTTTGTGTGATATTGTGTGTGTGTTGTGCGTGTTCGAGATTGTATGCGATTGCGTGTCCACAGCCCTTGATGTGTGTGTGCGTGTGCGTGTGGTGTGTTTACGGTCCTATGTGCATGTGTAAGGACTTGGCTTTGCCCAACAAGTTGGCGATTAGCACTCGCAGTCCTGTGCATTATTCGGCACCGCTTGCACTAAACCGTTTGTGTTGCTCCCTGATCATTAACACGCGCGCGACTAACCACATTACCTGTTGCTTTCCGTAATCATTCAGGCAAGGGCAAGTTTGGCAATGTCTTCCTTGCGCGCGAAAAGAAGTCCAAGTTCATCGTCGCCCTCAAGGTGGGAGGCAGAGTGAGAGAGGGAGAGAGAGACTCTGTGTATGTGTGAGTGTGTGCGTTTGTTTATGAGAGAGAGAGAGAGAGACACTCGGTGTGGGTGTGTGTGTGCGGGTGTGTGTGTAACAGCTTGTTTTAAGTGCACGGCGCACGATGCGCCATGTTGCTCTGCAAGGTTTGTTCCTTTACTTGCTTGTTCTTCTTGTTTTTTTACCAAGCACCAACAACGCCCACACCCCAACCTTCTCCTCCCTCCACGCGCTTCCACGATCATCACCGCCACTGTCACAACCTTACGCCTCTGCTCTCCAATTGCCAGGTCTTGTTCAAGAGCCAACTGCAGAAACACAATGTGGAGCACCAGCTGCGGCGCGAAGTTGAGATTCAATCGCATCTCCAACACAAGAACATTTTGCGGCTGTTTGGATACTTCCACGACGAGCACCGCGTCTACCTCATTCTCGAATACGCAGCAAAGGGCGAGCTCTACAAGGTATGAAGCTGTTGCGAAAAGAGAGAGAGAGAGAGAGAGAGAGAGAGAGAGAGAGAGAGAGAGAGAGAGAGCGTGTGTATGTGTGTGTGTGTGCTTGTATGTGGACATGTGTGTGTGCTTGTATGTGGACATGTGTGTGTGTGCGTGCGTGCGTGTGTGCGTGTGCTTGTGTTCGCAGAGCATTAGATGTTCATCCCCAGATTACACGGCTTTGCATGCTGTCCTGACTCCACATACACCGTCTCATTACCTTTGCTTGCATGCACATCCCATCTTAGATCCTACAAGAGCGCTCCCGCTTTGACGAGCGCACGTCCGCAGACTACATTTTCCAGCTCACAAACGCCCTCAAGGTGGGTGCATGTGTATGTGCATGTGTGTACATGTGTGTTTGCGTGCTTGCAATTGCGCGTCTTCCCGCTGTCGTGTCGCAGTTGTGCCGATGAGACTGGTCGTGCTGAGCGCAGTGAGATGCTTACACTGCCCACCAAACCAGCGTGTGTGCGCATCTTGCCCCAGCTCATGCTCACCTCGCCTCATTCCCTCTCGTTGCGTCAAATTGACTTGGGTCAGTACTGTCATCGGAAGAGTGTGATTCATCGCGACATCAAGCCAGAAAATCTTCTTCTCGGACTGGAGAACACGCTCAAGATTGCAGACTTTGGATGGGCTGTGCACGCACCATCATCCCGGTATGGAGCGTGTTTGGTTGTGTGTTTAACTGTTTGTTTGTGTTTTGTGTGTGTGTGTGTTATGTGTGTGTTGTATGTGTGTACATGTGTGTGTGTGTTATGTGTGTGTGTGTGTGTGTGTTGTGTACATGTGTGTGTTGTGTGTTTGTATGTATATGTGGGTGAATGTGGTTGTGCATCGCGAAAAAGAGCGAGCGCAACGCCTGTTTACTCCATCTCAATTCGACACCACCGACCACACTTCTCATGCCCCCTTGTGTCCTCCCACCACATGCGCCAACAGTCGCAAGACACTGTGCGGAACCCTCGACTATCTCCCACCAGAGATGATTCGCCAGGAGCCACACGACGCAACGGTGCGACACACACACACACACACAAAAAAAAAAAACAATGGCCGTGATAGCGTGCATGTTTGTGGCTGCGAATGCCCCCCCCCCCCAAAAAAAAAAAAAAAAAACACACACACACACACATACATACACGTGATGCACGTGTTCTTTCTTCCTCTCCGATATTGCCACACAACTTCACCTTCCTCACTCATATCTCTGTGCTGGTACCAATGTGCAATGGCAGGTTGACCTGTGGTCTCTCGGTGTGCTGACGTATGAGTTTCTGTTTGGAAACCCGCCCTTTGAGGCCGAGGGACACACAAACACATACAAGCGCATCACCAGCGTGGATCTCCGCTTCCCCGAACACATCCCCGTCTCCGCTGAGGCAAAGGACTTTGTCAAGAAGGTGTGTTTGCACGTGTGTGTGGACGCGTGTGTGAATGCAAATACATGTATGCACATGTATGAATCTCTCTGTGTGTGTATATCTCCTGCTCGGCCTTGTGTACATAGTTCTTCTTTCGCATTCGCTTGTTCGAGTGTGTGTGTGTGTGAGTGTGAGTATGAGTGTGTGAGTTTGTGAGTGTGTGTTTGATGAAGCGCTGCCTATCCTACCATCTCCACCTTGCAACTCCTCCCCCCTCCTGCTTCGACCAACTCACACGTGGTGCGCACCCCATCATGCATGGTCTGTTGTTGTCACTGCAGCTGCTGCGGCGGCGACCGAGCGAGCGCATGTCCTTGGCTGATGCCCTCCAGCACCCCTGGATCACCAAGAACGTTCCTCACAGCTCCCTCGCATGATGATCGCACACGTGTGCACTGCTGCTGCGTGTGCACTCCTCACCGCAACTTGCATGCCATGTTGCACTTGTGCGCATGCACACGCCCAGACATACATGACATTGTCAATACAACATCTTACTCTCCCTCGTTGCTCTGCCTTACATCCTTCGTGTCTCACAACAGACCACGCTGTTCACTGCACATCTCGTCGCCCCAGTGCCCGTGTTGTGTTTGTCAGAAAAGATCATTTTCCTCTCTCACGCTTCGTGTTGTCCCGAGTACACAAGCAACTCAACAACAATACACACGCACGTGTCATTCATTTACTGGGGTGAAAGTCCGCAATGGCATTTGAGAGAACAGGAAGATGCGTGGACAGAACGGAGGCGCGACATGGGGAATTGCAGCAGCACACACAACACAACACAACACAACACAGCACAACACAGCACAGCACAACACAACACAGCACAACACAACACAACACAACACAATACCACACAACACAACACAACACAATACCACACAACACGACACAACACAACACAACACAACACAACACAACACAACACAACACAACACAACACAACACAACACAGCACAACACAGTGGCAACAACGGTTCGCTATCATTTGCCAGATGTGGCTGTCTCAACAACGACGTTGTTGTTGAGGTGCTTCGCCTGCTTCTGCAGCCACGAAATGGTCTCTGCACTCAACAGCGGCGACTCAAATCCATCGACGCGAATCAGCCGGCAGCAGAACGCAATGCGCTCAGGCAACTCTGCAAAGAAGTGTGCGTGTGTGTGTGAGTGTGTGTGTGTGAGTGAGTGAGTGAGTGAGTGTGTGTGTGTGTGGGTAAACTGAGCATCATCATCATCATCATCACACCATCAGCACGAGCCCGCTGCTCCCGTGACCTCACCGTCATCGGCGTGGCCCTCAATCGTCGTGCCGAGATGAACCACCATCTGCTTCATCTTCCCCTGCACTCGACAACAACACACGAACATACGGCCACACGAACAGCGAGGGGCAGAGGAAGCAGGAGGTGTCAGTGTGTTAATGACTCAATTTGATCACATGCTCAGCCTGCGCCGCCGTTCTAGACTCCAAACGCACACAAATGTTCACACACGCATACACGTACGCCAACACATACATATGGCTTCTCTGCCTCCACAGCGTGTACTCGAACCAGATAGATGTATGTGTGTGTGTGTGTGTGTGTGTGTGTGTGTGTGTGTGTGTGTGTGTGTGTGTGTGTGTGTGTGTCGTACCCTGAGCGAGTGGATGGACTTCCGCGTGAGGACGGGGAACGAGTGCACGTTGATGCACATCTCCAGAAACGCATTGTCCTGAGAGAGAGAGAGAGAGAGAGAGAGAGAGAGAGTGTGTGTGTGTGTGTGTGTGTGTGTGTGTGTGTGTGTGTGTGTGTGTGTGTGTGTGTGTGTGCGAAGCAATACAGTGCAGCAGTTGAAGAGAGGGATGAGTGCTTGTGGTTGGTGGTTGCGCATGAGAGAACACATCGAGTGAACAAAGTTGCTTTCGTTGCATCGTTGTGCCATTTGCATGTGACACCTGCTCAACTCCGCCGACGCAGAGAAGTCATTTCAACACACACACGCGCGCGCGCACGCACGCACCTTCCCGCGACAGACAGTGCCCGTTGCCTTGATGAGTGCGGGCTTGCCGTTGTATCCTTCGAGCAGCGTCGGCAACCCAAGCTCACGGAAGTTCTGCATCCATGGCATGGAAGGTGATGGTGATGGTGGTGGTGGTGATGGTGGTGGTGGTGGTGATGAGAAAGACAGTTAGCGACATCGCGATGCAAACACACACACACACACACACACACACACACACACACACACACACACACACACACACACACACACACACACACACACACACACACACACACACACA